CTAAGGGCAAACCTTGTACGTTTCCTCTCAATTTCAGTGACACCCCCCGTACTTTCGTTTGTATGCGATCGAGCCCGTCGATTGCCGTTCAGAGCCCATTCTTCTGCGTCTTCCACATATTCTGCATAGACAGTCGGCCCGTAGTTCACTGTTATTGGCATACGCTGCAATAGTTCATTTACATCATTTTCAAACTATTCAAGACAATTTTTTTTCAAAAGGCAGGTAGTCACAGGTGAATGCAGAGTTTCTTTGTGATTCAAGCGATTGACAAGGTATAATATGAGCTGCTGAGGGAAATGATTACGCGGAGAAGTATGAGGAAATTTTCCTTTGAGCTGGTCTGTGCAAGACGTTCCAAATCAAGTCCCAGGACCGTATCATCCTAGCGGACTGATGCTAGGAATTTGGCTTGCTCCGCATCAAAACAGCAACAATTTGATTTTTGGTGACTGGGGATCAGTTAAATGAATGTGTTGGGAGATTAATCTCCGCAATGTTCAGCAACTTACATAAGGTGGCTCTTCCGAATTATCCAACATTGTCTCCATTGCCATAGATATCTAAAATTCTCTTTGTAAAATTTGATTCTTAAGCAATATAAGAACTGAACAAAAGAAAGCTCGCCCCGCAAGTTATGGTTGTGAATAAAATTTCTTTGCGAAATGGCACCCAAACTGGCAAACAAATACTCAACACAGCTTGCTAGATTCTGATTCGGGACTGATATGATGATGTGAGAGTATCAATTGTGAATATATTATTCGTAAGGATTTCGTTTCACGTGTACAAAAAAGCTAATCTTGATCACTGCATGATTCACTATATTATAACCATTTTACTGTTGCACAGAATTGATACTAGTGCTAATTTTTGGAATTAACTGACTGAGCTGATTATAAACGTCCACTGCCCTGTTAGATTCTCTTTGCTGCGACTTCTATTTTTTGTTCGCTGGCATCAAACTGTCATCAATTAAGCATCGTCTCAAGGCGGAAATATTCAAGTTTATCTCAGCAGGTGGCCACCGAAAGCGTGCCATTTTATTTTTTCTCACCGGTTATCAAAAAAAGGTGATCAAACACCCGCTGTGCTTTAAGAACACTTCCTTGTGTTCGATAATTGATGACAGTTTTATGGATGGAATTTTGACTGCTTTTGTTTCAGTTTGAAATTAATGGCAGAAAATATTNATAAGCTGGAGATTGATACCCAAAAGCGATCAAAAAACATTATTATAATCGACGAAGCGTTTCAAGCATAAAACGGACTGAAGTTCAAGCAACATACACTTGATGGCCATTGATAATGACAATAATTGAGCAAATGATAGCGAAACAAAAAGAACTTAGGATCGACTCAATAAAGGACCTCATGAACCTCGACTTGCATGAAGCCTCCAGCCTTGCCTTGTTTCACCTAAAATTCCACATTTTACTGCAAAACCTTTTCAAAAATGATCTCATTGGATCGCAATCAATACGATCAAAATGATTTTATTCGCTTCCCATTGAAATAATTTCGTTTGATTACATTTTCAGTCATTAGGACTGTCATTGTTACAGAAATGTGAGAAAAGATGCGTATTTCTGAATTCGAGAATAAAAACTCCTTCCTTGAAAGGAATTGCACAAATAGTTTTATTGCGTGAAAAGTGAAAAATTTGTGGAAATTGCCGTTTTTCTGGATAACCGAAACTAGTCATTATTAATGACGTTTAAGTTTTTTTTTAGAAAGAATCGAATTTGCTCGATTGAGAATGAAAATGTTTGACAGGAATATGCTCAATACAATAACTAATTATAATGGTAAATTGATCGTATTGTTTTCATGCTAATGAAAAACTTNATTTTTTCAAAATGAAAATTGAACTGAAATCCTAGAAAGTTTTTCGCTGAATGTATGGTAATGTTGAAGGCATAGCCAGACTTACTTCGGTACGTTCAACAACCATTCGACTTTTACTTAGCGAGCTGGATCTGGATCGTTGCTCGTAGAAGTCTTCATCAGGGTTTGCTGACAGGTTGGCTAGTGATCTGGAATTGTGAGACGACATCCTCGAACGACCACCTGAACAATTCAGCAAATGTAATTCATCTCTCACCACCCCGCACTTGTCTAATATGTTATGAACGATGTGTGGCTTGGATCCGGGCAGATATCTAGATGACCCCGAGGAATCCGAGTGTCTAAAACTCAGCGACAGAATTCAGTGAAACTGGACAATTACAGAATGGGTGCAGAATCCTTGATAAGGAGAACTTGAACTGAAGTTTTAGAAACAGTTAGGAGACCAACCGATAGATCAATTAGGCAGCACTCTAATAGTTACGAGCATACGACAGCAAAGCGCTACTAAACATGAAGAGTTTGTAAAAGGAAGAGGAGTGTGCTTTCTT